TTAATATTCTTCCACTATGATTTTGATAAATTTACACTGATTCGTTAAGTACAATCACAATTTGAATAATGCTGAAAATAAAGATCTTCGGTCTAACTCCTCTTTGACTATACACTTTTTTGACATTGAATTATAGCAAAAAATTTACTTGAATTTGGCTTTAATCTTCTAGCTTTAAGAATGCTACTTCAAGCTTCCGTTGTGCAATGATCTTTTCTCCATCCTACCGATTTCTCGAGCTTTGAATTGTTCGAAGATGATAAAAACTGTAACTTCGTATGTAGGCTTCCATACATAGAGAGTTTAAAGAGATTGAAGATGAAGTGAATTCGGTTACAAAACTCAAAAGAATATTCAAAACGCTTTTTAAAAGTTGAGAGTGTTTTGATTTATATATCATAAAGTTGGAATGTGTGTTATGAACATTGTGAAATGGATTTGAGACAAATATTTAAATAAGTGTGGAGATCTAACACAAAATTGAGAAAAAACATTTGATTTGAGCCACAAGCAAGTAGTATGAGTTGAGTTAATAGAGTAAATGATTTGAATCAATATCCAATAACCAAAAAAAAAAAATTCTCGAACGGTTCAAGTTAACCCTTTTTTTATTTGAGTCAACAAGACATGTGATTTGAATCAGAATCACATAACCAAAATCTAAAATTTACTGTCTGAATTTGAGTCAAGTAAAGCATATATGTGATTTGAATAAAACTTCTATGATTCGAGTCATGAATTCTTTTAATTCAAATTAAACTTATAGAGGAAAAATCATGTTTTTTAGAAATGTGTTTGATTCAAGTCGGGAACTTATGTGATTTGAATCAAAGTCACATAAGTAAAATCTTGATTTTTCCACATAGTTTGATTTGAGTCATGACATCCTGTGATTTGAATCACACTTTAAAATTGTCAATTTTTCATCAAATGAAGTGCCATTCTGAATCGGAACTAGGCATGACTTAAACCACTCTCAAATATGTTTATTGATTAATTTTTTATACTATTTGACTAGAAATATATTGATAAGACTATAATCAAACAATTTGATTTATGCATGCGTAAAACGGATTAAGAATTCATTCCTACAGGAGACTCACTTAGTTTGATTATAGTTTGACGAGCAAAAAAACATAAATAAATAATAAATAAATTCTACGAGACAAATGTAACTTTAATATTTTCCCTTAAAATATTGATGAAAGGCACTACTTAAACCAACCTAGCATATTATTTAACCTAAAAATTTATGATACTTTGTTTTATAGAATTTTTAGAATAAAATCTTAGAGAGTGTGGGAGAAAAAGAGAGAAGATTAATATCTCATTATGAAAATAATAAGTAAAAATAATTTAAGGAATAGAGAAGAGAGAATAATGAACCGGGTATTCAAGGAAGGAGAACTAATCTTGTTGTTTAACTCCAGACTTAAATTATTTCCTTGAAAACTCTAGTTACGGTGGTCTAGACTCTTTGTGGTGAAAAGGGTAACATCATACATAACGATAATGAGTCTAAGGGCTCGTTCACTATGAACGGAAAAAGGTTAAAACACTACATCACTGGGGATGTAGTGGAGAAAGGAATGAACATGATTTTGAAGGAAATATCTTGAGTGATCAAACTAGCTTGACACCTAACCCTTATACAAAAAAGAGGCCTCTTACAAGCGCTCGTAACAGCTGTTACAGTCCATAAAAGGCCTCAGCGCCCAAACCTCCTCAAAAAATTTACAATTCTTCCATTTTCTCTTGGCCCCACCCACCCTTTCTATATCTAATCATGACCATTTATTCACCCTTAATTCCCCATTATTCATATTTTTAATTCATTTTAAACAAATCTCTCTCTCTCTCTCTCTCTCTCTCTCTCTCTCTCTCTCTCTCTCTCTCTCTCTCTCTCTCTCTCTCTCTCTCTCTCTGTTTAAAGCTTCCATCTTCGTCTTCCCAAACCTTTCTCTATAAAAAAACCATAAAGCTCAACTAAAACCTAACAGAAAGCTCTCAAATTTAAATCATTTTCACCATCAAATACCAAACCTCCTTTACAAAATATTACATATACCTCACCTTAAACACATATCCGGGGTCAAAAATACCAAAACAAACTCGAAATTCTCAACTTTTTCTCATCAAATGGAACCAAAGATGAGCGACAAAGGGAAATAAGCAGAGTCCTCCTGACCAAATAAAATAGGTAGCACTAAAGATGATGGCCAAGAAAAAAAGGTATTTTATTTTGATTAAGCGAAAGCAAACCCCGACAAAGTATATTTGCAAAAACATTCTCTCTACTTTAGGGTTAAAAACTAAGCTAGATAGGATGAATCATTGCACTGGGTTGTTGGAGATTATGCAGAGGGAAGCTCCCACTTACGAGCACATTACTTTAGAACTATTTATCACATTAGACTTTAAGATATTAAAAAATGGTAGATGGCGTGAGATACTGTTATGGTTCTCTTTGATTTTTTTTGTTCAACTAGAACCATGTGCTGAGTGAGGAGGAATTGGGACAAATTCTCAAATTTCCTATTTATGGGTCGGGAGATGTCCCAAGCGATTTTCGTGTTAAAAATTTCAAGGCTAAAATCATCGGTGACTAGAAAAACACTAATGTCGATGCGAAAGCCTCCATAATTTAGAACCTCTGCTTTCGATAATACCCAAAATACCCTTCCATACACGTTGTTTGGCTGAGGTGACAATACCGACGTATCTTCCCAAAGGTAACTATTTTTACGTGTTATATGGTTAAGAATGAGCTGGTGAATGTTATTGCTTTCACAACTAATTATTTGGGGTGGGTATCTCATGTGGGCTCTGGATGAATTTTAGTGGGGGAATGATTACTGAAATTCTGGTAAGTCAGATCAGAGATGTCCTATAGGATGTCGAGACATCTATTCTAACGCAAACAAACATGGCAAGGCATAAAAAATAAAAACAATATTGAAAAGATAAACAACACACATAATTGTTAACCCAGTTCGGTGTATAACAACACCAACTCTAGGGGCTACCAAGCCAGGAAGGAAATCCACTAGACAATATCAATTCAAAGCTAAGTTAATCCCAAGTTTACAACTTATCACTTAATCACTACCCTGTGCTACTTCTACCTAGGTCATCCTTAGATTTGAGAAATCTCATCTCACCTCCAATCACGACAATGATGTCTAATAGTCTCTGTCCTAGTTATTGTATTAACGGAATTTCACCTAAACGAAGATAATACTTCAAACAATCAAACACCTTTATCAAGACACCTATTGATTAAGAACAAAATACTTGATTTTGATTCAAAGCTTTGATCAAGAACAATATTTAGAGTTTCTTAACAGCTTCCTCCAAGAAAAATATTATCTATTGCTTACAATCTTCAAGGAGAACAATAACAGAGGTTACAACTCTGTAACACAGTTCAACTCACAACCCGAGTGGATCACACAAAATAACTCTCCTAGAGAGCGACACAATGAAACATCCCTAATTATTCGACATCTTAGACCCGTACTAAACTAGGGTACAAAAATTTCTATTTATAAACTTTTTCCCAACTAGATTTGGGCTTCAAAAACGCAGCAGAGAGGCTGCATAAAGTCTGCAAAAACTTCGGCAATAAAATAGGTCTTCAATTATAACTTTCCTAAATTGTATCCATATTTAGAAAGTTTGAATATCTTGAAAAACCAACATAATATCTCTCATTTATCAATCATGGACGCTACATAGGATTACTGAACATTCCCAGAATATTCACTAATTAAATCACAACAACTGAATCCAACCTGCCAGCTGTAGCAGACCTGATGCCATATACTTCTAGTTAGGACATCCCTTTCGACATGTTCAAACAAAAAGTTGAAACATCTACCAAACTATAAAAATGTAACCGTCCAGAGTTCCTGCCTTCTGGTTAGGACATCACATTCGACATGTTGAATCTGCAAGTTGAAACATTTTCCAAACTGCAAAACTATAACAGACCATGTGTCATATACTTTTGGTTAGGACATCACATTTGACATGTTGAATTTGAAAGTTGAAACGTCTTGTTCAACATGTTGCTGCAAAGTCAGTTTTACCAAAATTTATGCCAATTATAATTTCAGAGAAATATCAATCTCCCCCTTTGGAAATTTTTGGATAAAATAACCAAATAGTCCTTGCATAAGAGAACACCATAATCATGTTTTAAAATAAAACAAACACACACATCAGAGGCACATTAGTAAAAAACATAACAATAGAGTTATGAGCAGCAACAAAAACAAAAAAAAAATAGTTAGTAGTTAGTCAGTCTACTAAACACAGCTGCAGCAAATAGAAAAACTAAATTCTAAACACCGTGATCTCTTCAGAGCCCTTCAGTCCAACATAGTAGGGACTCCCCCTAAACACTTTCTAACATTATAGAGAATCAGAAACAAAGAATCATAAATTATCCCCCTCAATAGCATCCAACAATCACAGTAGTTAGTGCACACACACACACACACACACACACACACACACACACACACACACACACAAACACACACACACACACACACACACACACACACACACACACACACACTTCTCCTACTTTTTATCCATAATATGACAAAGGAAGCAAATAAACAAAAAAATCACAGTAGCACATTATCACATTAAGTTAATACTAATGCAGAATCAAA